GTTACAACTATACCAGAAATATAGCTGCAGCATGGCTCTACCACGTATAAAAATGTTCTGAATAACGACTTTATTTTTATTAACGGCGCCTTTTCATTGCCTATACTTGCAGTACCTAATTAGCACTTAATTCCTCGCTATTAATATTTTTCGTATATCTAATAACTTCATTGCGTTGCTAGCGATACGTTTTGCCAGCAACGCAAATTTCAACAGTTCGTTGCGGTGAAAAATTTAGAGCACCTAATTTTTAAACTTGGCACCTAATTAGCACCTAAAAAGTCCCTAATTTTGGATTTTTCCAAATGCAAATTTCCGACTTTGCATTTCTGGCGAGACACAACTCATAAATGTGTCTGTGGAATGGAAAAACGGTAACAACCAACATTGTTTTGTTTACTTTTCTTTTTTTACTATTATAAAGAGGAAAGATTTGTTTGTTTGTTTGTTTGAATTGAATAGACTCGGAAACTACTGGACCGATTTGAAAAATTCTTTCACCATTAGAATCCTACATTATCCCTGATGAACATAGGCTATAAAATATTTTCAAAAAGTTAGGTATCCGTATGAAAACTTTGTTAATGGAACCCAAGGTGTGAAAAAAATACCAAAAAGAATCCTTATATCGCGTACGCTGCGGAAACTTTTGATAATAGAGCAAAGTAATGTCCTTCAGTTTTATAGAAGATATCAATATCTACAAAAAAGTGCGATGCCATATGTTTAACTATTACAGTTATGTCACAATAACTACTTCTTCATGTTAAAATGTGAAATAGTAACGCCGGTACAAAATAGGCCACATTATTCGTATCAGTACCTGTGTCATACATAACCACCAATTATGTTAACCATGTAATTTTAGTAACATATTTCACTTTTTAAATCTTTGTTAATTCAGCAACCGTCCGTCGTCTGTGTCTCTCTCGAAGTTCGCATATCGCAAGGCGCAGACGCGTGATATACGCGGGTAAAACCGCGGGGCACAGCTAGTATTAAAATTAACTTCTCAACTAAATGACATTGTGTAAATAAAACTTTACCACCTGTGTCAAATAGCGACCTCTGGTGGTGGTCTGGTGAGCAGAAAATTGTTAGGGAGGGTGGGAGGTGCTCTTTACACTGTGCAGGACACATTTTATTTCATTACGCGGAAATAAGTAAATTAAGTTCTAACAACTTATACTAATCTCAGAACCTATTGAACTACTCTTTGACCTATTTTTTATTTTTTATTTTGACAAATTTTAGGATAGTTATTCATTTGATATGTCTAAAACATATCAAATGAAAAACTATCCTAAAATTTGTATTATCGTGTGATGGAATTTTTTCAGAAACACATATATTACAATGAGTAACATATAAGCAAATTAATTTTTTTAACAAAGACAATTTAAATAAACATATTCTTTTGTTTCATAGATTTTTATAATACTTTTTGAGTATATTACATAATATCAGTACTCTGTTACTCTTGCTACCTGCGTGAAATAAATGCCTACAATCGCGCAGAACCTCAGGTTACGTACGCAGTCAGGGCTAGTGCGTTTTACCCAAGCGACGTACTTGTGAGTTTCAAAGTTTTTTAACATTGCTTAGGTAGAGTTTTGTAGGCACTTGTATAAAAATATTTGTTAATTGTTTAGTATATTTAGTTATAGGATAAAATAGATTTATTATTTTTTGTTATTAAAAAATGTTACCCCTAGACTAGGATTTTTTCCTGTATATGGGGGCAGTTTACATATATACATTTCACAAAGACAATTATGCACATCCGGAAAAATTATTTGTAGGCCATTTAAATACTTGTTCCGTACAGGATACGATACCGCGGTCCTTAGCGCTGTAATTCATTGCTAAGCCACTGCGCCACAGAACCGTCTATGTAGTTGTTTATGTTTTAGTGTTATTTATATGTATATTTTAGAAAATATATTCATTATACTCAACTAAATCTAAGAAATACGTTTTAACGTTTCACATTAATCATTCCGCAATAACTTTGTACAAGCGTATACACAAGATTTAAAATAACCTTTTACGTAAATCCCAATAATTATGTAGTTATCTATATTTCATGACAACACGTTCTTTATCACTAATTCAAGTTCGAATCTTTCATAAAAGCAAAACATAAAAAATAACCAGAGTCAACTTTATTCCCTGACGTTGTTTCAATGATATATCGCTATGTACCTTACCGTAGTGTTTGAATGATTAAAATTCATTTTTATGCGTATAATCGGTAAAAATATTCAAATAATCGATAAAAATGTTCAATTAATCGAATCTTGAAATGATTTAATTTATTATTTGTTTATTTAAATTTTATTTTTAAAATTGCTTAAATTGTATGAATTACGAATTAAACAAGTTTATTTATTTTATAACTTTTTACTTTGTGAGTATAAACTTGTGTCGGCAAAGAAATTAATATACAAAGCTGCGCTGAAAGAAACACTACGTAGTTCCAATCTCCCGCCATTTTGGTAGCTTACTGTGCGTACTTTTGTGATTTTGTATTTACCTTATTTTGTGACTCGGCTATAACTTTTTGGACTGATTCTATTATATTCGTTAAACTTGACAAGTTATATACATAGGAATATCATAAACATTAATATCTCATATTACTATTTATGATATTATCATAATAAGGATATCCTACTACGGATTAGTTGCAAGAAAGTTTATTAGATGGCGGTTTATACAATGGTAGTCTTTGAGAACCATTTTAAAACGCATTTGCGCTTCCGATATAAAAAAATGATATACGCAAAATAATTATGGAGAGGCATAACGTAGCCTGCATTAAGAATATAACATTTTTAAGAGAAATGAAAAAAATAACCAATTGGGACAACGTCATATTCGTTGACTAAACGATGACACTGCAGCATTTTGCTCAATGGTACCTATGGGAAAAGGTCATGGATAATACACTATATACCGGGAAAAGGTGATGCGGGAACCCCTGGAGGAAGATTTGTAGAAAATTGTTTATTAGCTTTCCAATCGATGAGTACAAGAGAATACGATGAGGAAATGGATGCAGAATAATTATAATTTATAATTAAAAATGTTGTACAACCGACTTCAAATTCTTAAATTATTAAGAATAACTTAAAAACTATTACTGTTGTACGCTTAAAAAACGTTATCCCCTAGGATTTACTCCTTTATCATGAAGGCAGTTTACAAACATAAATTGCACGAGGACAAACATCCAGACCCGGAACAATTATTTGTAGACCATACAAATACTTGTTCCGTGTGAGATTCGAACCCGCGGGCCCCAGCGCAATAACTAATTGCTAAGCCACTGCACCACGCAGCCGTCAAATTATATTAGTTACACCTTGATCAAATTTATATGGGACTACATGAGAAATACCAGCTTTTAAATAAAAAAAGAATCATTGAAATCGGTTCACCCAGATAAAAGTTATGATGTAACACACATAAAAAAACATGCGTGAGTGTCGTGGAACAATCGGTTGGAACGAAGTTTTTTTCGTAGTATTTTATTATTTATAAACGTATTATATTATTGATTAATAAGTACAAAAAAGTGAATTAATAGCATCTATTAAAATGAAACGTCATTTATAATAAAGTAATATTTTTTTCATGACAAGATAAGAAAAAGCGTGAAAAGGGGGTTTACACTACGTCACAAGGGGCTGTGACAGATAAATCTTACACTTTTTATCGCCTAGCTCTCATGCGCCAAATACGAACCGTCCTATAAGGAACTTCGTTCCAAAAGAAAAAACGAACATACAGTCGCATTGAGTACCATCTATTTTTTGGAGTCGGTAGAAAAGAGTGGTTTACAACCCTTTTACAAAATATTCCTGTGAATATCACAACACTACCACCATACCACTGGTATTATAATGCTATTGAATTGATTTTTGGCCCAAATCATAGGCTAGTTTTTTTTTATGAAATGTTCTTAATGCAAATATAGGTGTTATTAACTATACTTAAACACACACGAAATGGAAATATGTTATGCTTTGTAAAGAAAATGGAAGGTTTGCTGAACGAAGCATATACCCATATCATAAAAAACAATTGGGCAAAAGTGGTGAAGAAAACAAAGAAAATTATTATGGATGACTTTGAAAGAACATTAATTTGGAGACATTATTGAAAAACTAATAATAATTAATCTAAATAACGACAGCTCATAGTTGTAGTGAGAGTGACTGAATATATTTTTTTTTAATCCAATTTCTAATTTTAAATTTATTTAATTTTGCCTCGAGATATAAGCAGTAATAACAAATACGAAGCATTGTTTTAAATTATCCGTTTCTAATTTATTCTGGTATTAATCGAAACAAAACTGTAAATGATTATTAACTATAGAGGATTGATATCGATTTTTCGAAAGAATCGAATATTGTACGTACCAATTTTTTGGATGACATGCCTAGTCCAATAAGTCTGACAGCTGTCAAAACGTATTTCTTAGATTTGGTGTGGATTTGGTAGAGTATAACAATTTTTAAACATAATAATGATAAGACCAGCAAATAATATACTAAAATTATTACCGAATATTAATTTTATCAATCCGTGTCAATGTTTTCCCTCTCAGTATTTACTTAAAATTATACGTTAGATTTAGACTTTTTCCACTTTTAAATAAATTATATCATAATATAATAATTAACAACCGTTACTTTAATGATGGTTAAAAGATATAGGACATTTTATTAAAGTAAAACAGTTTATATTTATTAAATAAATAAACAAAAGGTACTTTATTTTTACATACCTACTTTATTTTTACTCTTTTTTTATTTTGTGATAGATCCAATAAACGATTATAATTTTGCAACTATTCCTTTAAAATGTCTTTTTTGATTTTTTCTTTTCAGTTATATGCGAATGTATTCCTATCCAGTTAAGCCACGGCCACGCTGACAACACTGCTTTTATCAAAACTCAAAAATAGCTTGCTATATATCTATTTGTCTATGATCAAAAATGGCTGCCTTGTTGTTGGGGACTGTTGGGCGCTTGTTTAGGGAATAAATGTTTATTTCTTTCTTTTGTTGTGTATCCTATTTAACGTTTGTGTAATGCTTTGTGAAGTACAATACATTGTTTAATTTATTGGTAAGTGATAGTAAATTTGTGTTCTTGTTGACATACTTGTGAAATCTGTAACGTAATAACTGTTAGTCGCAACGTGAGCTTTTTGTGCGTGTTCATAATTGTGTCATTCAGTACATAATTTGTCTACTTTCGAAAAATTTATTACCCATAGTTTCAAAGTTTACCTGTCTGTTTTACAAAATTATACGTATAATAACATTGTAAAACTAGTCGAGAATATGTTGACCTTAGATCGTTCATTACAGAACAATAAAGGACTTTTACGTCGCAATGCCATCGTATAATACGGCCGACGTATCTTGGCGAGTCTGAATATAGGCTCTGCGAAGTTTAGCGCATGAACACTCGTGAAGAAAACTGTTATTGTCATTTTTTTATATATACCAATGTACAAATAAAATTTCCCTAATACAGTGACCAAAAATATCAAAACACTTTGGAGACATTATAAATTAAAGATTCAATTTTGATACCTCACCTTTCGATAGGGGCAGATTTTATCACAAACACATACAATATTATTTACATTTAATACTTTTTATTTATTTACACTTATTATTATTTAATCACTGTCGCTGAGGGGGGAAATTCCTAACATAAAGTCGTCGGCCCCTTGTGTACCATGTGAGGTACTTGGCATAGGTTCATCTTCGTAATCGTCGCTCTCACTTTCAGACTCACTTTCTGAATCTGAAGCTGTATTAATGATGAATAATTGATCCGTCATTTCGTCAATAATATGGTCGCTCTTCCTATAGTCATGTTCGACCTCTTGCACTTTTCTGCATAAAGCACTCCATTCATTCTGACCCATTAAATTTACTTTTTCTTGTATGAGCTCCATTGTCCGGGTTACGTTCCAGTCGACGTTTTTAGCGGCTACGTGCCCTTTAATGGCAGCCCACACCATCTCGATGGGGTTTAAATCGGGATGATATGGGGGTAAACGAAGGACATCGTGGTTGTTTTGTTTAAACATTTCATCTATTACGTATTTTTTATTCACGTCTTTGTTTTTTTTTATTAGATCGTAAAGTTGTGGTTTACGCATGTCCTTTTCATATGGTATACCCTTTTCTAATAACCACGATTCCATTTTTGCCTTCTTGTCATTAGATGTAGGGGCAGGATCCATTAATTTGTTGTGGTACGGAGCATTATCGATAACCACCACCGAGTTAGGGCTCAAATTTGGAATCAGTTGGGTCCGTAACCATTTCTCATAATTTTTGAAATTCATGTCATCATGATAGTCTCCGGTTTTGCTGCCAGATTTGAACATTAGTAGCGCGTTCGGAACAAACCCTGCTTCTGACCCAGCGTGTACCATCACTATCCGCTGACCTTTTGATATCGGGCGCTTTAGTCCTTGAGCGGAACCATCTGACCACGCCTTACCTTTTGTATGTGATGAGTGGGCATACGACTCGTCAGTGAATACAATTGGTCGCCCTTCGTCCCTGTATTTTTTCATTGCCTTCAAGTACAAGATCCTTTTCAGGCGAATGTCGGTCTTCTCTATAAGAACCATTCTATTGGTTTCGGTCTTTCGCCACTTGAAACCCAAGTTTTTGATAATTGTCTTTAAGCTCGTTTTACCACCTTGAAAATTTATATCCCGTTTGAGTTTCGCTAGTAATTTGTTTATCGTCGGCATTTCTTTTTCAGTTTTGTGGAAGTTGTGTATGCATCTTTTTACTACTCCCTGGTCAAAATTATCCATATCAGTAATAGGTTTTGATCTAGACCTTTTTTTACCAGGCGTGCGGAATACTGAAAGTAAGCCCGAAATATTGCCTTCAGTTGCGATCCGCTGTACTGTGCGTTGGGACACACCAGTTGCGTTAGCAACTCTTAAATAAACTTTATCGACATCTTTTACGCCTTCTTCTTTTTCTTTTTTCATATATTGCGTTAAATCGTAAATAATTTTTCTCGCCTGGCGATTTAACACACTGTTATGTTTTGGTGGCATGTTTGGCGAATAATATAAGTGCTAACTGACACTTGCAAATAAAACAAATAAAACAAATAAAACAAACAAAACAAACTTAACACTATTAATAAAAACAAACAACAATAACAACGAAAACTTTTGTAACCGACTGTGCTCAAGACAGAGATAGCGACACGAACACGACACCAATGCTAACGTGTGACTGAGAAATATTACCGTGTACCGAGCATTGCCGAATAAGCACGAAGCTTTACGAAGTAACCAGAAAGGGATGTCCAACACGCGTGCCTGAGGGTGTTGTTTAATCGATTTTTATTCAAATCGATTAAAATTAAGACATAAAAATATATTTATTTGCAATTTATAAGGAGGTTCTAAATTTTCTCAAATAGTCGTTACTCAAGAAGACGTTAATAGATAATTGATATTTAAGTACATTATGTCTTTCAGCTGAGAAAATAATATGTTTTTAGTTTTTTTTTTTTATTTAAGTCGAAATCTTGTTTATTATCAACAAAATTCACTATATTTGTAAATCTATTTCGTTTAATATCTTATATAAACAAAAATCAATAACTTCTAAATAAAACTAATCGATTGCGATATTTTATGACTAAAGGGTCGATTGTGTTTACTTATGGTCAATCTCTAGCCTAGACCACCGCCCCCCGTACGTCGCCTCATGCCACCATTTTGTTCCTTAAAAAAGCTATTGCGCAACCTTCTGCGCGAAGGTCGGACTCGCCAAGATACGTCGGCCGTATTGTAATGTTCCTGTTTGTTCTACGATTCCTTTTCGTTTTGGTTATTTAAAAGTCAATTCAAGAAATAGGCCATGGAAATATGCATCCTTTCCAAATATTAGGTTTCAATACAAAAACAAATTTGGGGTAAATGAACTCTACAAAATAATCTCTTTTTCCACGATATTATATGCGTACTACCGAAGATTGTTTTTTTATTGTATTAAAATCCAACTTACGTTATTTTTTCACTTTATTGTCACATTCGAGCTTAATATTTACACATTTTCGCATTTTTTGTAGAGCATAAATAATAAATACTGGATACTGAGTCATTTTAATTTATATTCAAACATGTATTTCAGATTATTCACCCAGCAGTTGCCCCAAGGAGAGCATTAGCTGATGTTTACCAAGGAATATCCCACCATTAATATAAGCATATGTTAATTAAAACACAAGTGTGTTTCTTTGTGTTGTAAGGGTATATTATGTCCAAGATGTGGCCTCAATCGCAATACTCTCACACTAACACTCACTATCAAAATAATGCTGCCAAAACAAATGAACACCAGAACCAGCAGAATTTGAAGACATTGGGGATGACCTCTGCTATATCTATGGCAGGTGGGTTAAATGTGCATTTTATGATTTAAGGCTGGCTTTTCATTATGGGATATATATTAATATCCCGAAATATAAATTATATCCCGCAATTGGCTTTCACACTGTGAGATATATTTTTTAACTAGTTATCATTGGAATACCCCCTGTACCCTGCATACGGTTCTGCGGCGGTGCGGGACGATGTGCGGGGTACAGGGGGTGAAATATAATATGAAAATAACACTCGGTCGATTGAAAAAATATTTATAGTTCGAGATGTAATATATATTATAGCTTGGTGTAAAAGGTTCCATTTAAAAGTATGGTGAGCAATATTAATTTATATATTATATTATATCCCATAGTGAAAAGCGGGCTTAGCTCCTGCAATTGACTGTTAAGAAATGTATAATATTTTCATTAATAAAAAGATTAAATCTAGAAATTTTACATCAATAAAAAGCACATAAAATTTCAAGGTTATTGTTATATTATGTGAAATTAATGTGCACTTATCTCTATGAATTCATATTGGTGCCTATGATTTGCTAAGTAAGGTGAAGGGGCTGCACTTCCTGCAGCACCGAAGCTGTTACAGAAGTATCTTTGAGTCAAAATTCCTGCAAAAAAAAGTGCAGTTATGATTTAAAAAAAAAATCATTATTCAAATTATACTTTTGCACAAGGGGGGAAGGGTGTGGGGGGCTTCCCTTGAAGTCACCCCCTCCCCATACGCAAGTACTGAACATCTAGTTTTACCTTGGAATGTTTTAAATGAACACAGGGAAAAGCACACAAACCGTGTCTCATGCAAAAATCGCTCACCAATTTCAGTGTGAGTCCCAAGGGTGTGGGCTTGGAACTGTCTTATTTATCTGTTTGATTCATTTGTAATAACTACAATCAACCAATGATAAATTGTGATGATTACAAGCATGTACAAATCTCATGTATAATGGATTAGGTCACCAAGTTGTGATTTACACAATGATTGATAATGCAGCACTGATCACTAGCCTTGCCAGATATTACCTATCTGGTATCCAGCCAAAGTACTGTTCATTTCTTCTCTAATTAAAACTTCTGACTTCCACTATTATAGCACTAGTTACCAAATTGTATATGGTAAGGATAGGGTAACTGTTAGAGTATGACCAAATTGTTTTCATTTTAGGTGGTAGGTTACGGTTAAAACAATAATTTTTTGCAAATTTTGTTCTGGTCAAATTTTATATTTAATATGAAAATACAATTTCATATAATATCATAATAAACTATTATTAGGTTAGGTTCAGAATGTCAATGCAATGCCTTGTTACTCTTACAAAGGAATGATTTCATTAGCTTGTCTATACAAATCAATAAAATTGAAGTATCTATTTGTAATGTCAAAATAACAGCTTTTTACTAAATGCATATGAAAGTATATACTGTACTTAAAACAAAAAAAAACAATCTTGAAATTTTTGTCTGTCTGTATGTCTGTCTATTTGTTTCGGCTAATCTTCAAAATGGCTGGACCGATTTTGACAGGACTTTCACTGGGAAATATCGACATAGGCAGGTAGCATCATTCACTAGGTAGGTACTGAAAAATATTCGAGACTCAGTTCAAACACAGAATTGAATAGAACAATAAATAATAGTACAAGTGTACACCACATGTCGAGACTTGCAAAATGCCGCCTGTGCGCCCACATATACATTATTATAAATATGAATGCCAAGAAAAAAACGTTACTCATTTCTTTCCGGTATTTTGAAAATAAAAGTGCGTCTGTGATTGAATCGATGTCAGTGTTTGCAGTGCCAGAAAAAGTAAGTATTTGCCTATTTTGTTATACATATTTTTATTGTATATTGTAATTCATTAATCATATTATATTTGTTTTACTATTTGAGTGTAGTAGGTAGTTATGTAGTAAAAATTAAATACTAAAGATTATTCAAAATTCTATAAAACAACAAAAAGCCAGGGAAGATTAAACTTTAGGTACCTAGGTACTTTTTTGTTTAAAAATATTTATTTACGCGACGACGGCGATTCATTAAAAGAGCGGTGTTTTTGCGAATATTTCGTATTTTTTAATTGCAATAATTCTATTCTGTTGTGTTATAATAGCCATATTCTGGTAAAATCGCCTCAAAAACAAACATTTTTTTACAGGTCATAACTGATACGGAGAATGGCTGAATTTAAGAAGAAATGTCGACAGTAGTACAGTGTTGATTATTTGAAATTAGGTTTTCTTCCATCAACGGCAGACAAACGATTGCTTATGTGTGTTTTATGCAACAAAGTTCTGAGCAATGACTATGAAACCATTGAAGCTCGAAGATCATCTAAGAAGGTGTCAAAAAGTATGTAAAGATCTGAAATACTTTCAAACATTGAAGAAAAAATATGAAAAGAGACCTACCGTAAATAGTATGTTTGCTTCAACGTCTCAAAGTAATGATGATCTTACAATATTTCGTTGCTTATAGCGAAATCTGGAAAACCACACTATCGGAGAAGAGTTAATTTTACCCGCTATTGAAGAGGTTTTAAAAACTGCTCTGCGCGAACCTCCATACGTACGTACTCAAAAGAATTCCTTTAAGTAACAACACTGTACAAAGACGTATTAATGAGATGAGCTCTGATATAGAAAGCTTCTTTTGTAATTATCTGCAAAGCACTAATTTTTCTATTCAATTGAATGAGTCTACTTTTTCTGGTAATGAAGCATTATTATTGGCATATGTTACATTTGTTTATGGACAAAGAATTCCATGAAGAGCTGCTATTTGCAAAACCTTTGAAGTCGGACACTAAAGGCGAATGGATATTTAATGTCCTGAGTGATTTTTTTACAGAAAAATCTATTTCATTTACAAACTTTATTTCGGTGGCAGCAGATGGAGCTCCTGCCATGTTCGGGCGATATCGTGGGTTTCTAAGCTATCTTAAAAGAATAATACCAGGACTAACTGCAATTCACTGTGTTATCCACAGACAACACCTTGTAGCGAAAAATTTGAGTGATAGATTGCACCAATCGCTTCCATTTGTGATTAACGCAGTTAATAGAATAAGAAGCAATACTTTGAATACCCGTTTACTATCCACTCAAACGTCCGGACGACGCGGCGACAATAGCCTTGAACGTCCCGGCGACGCTCGTCGCGATTTTTATACGGTCCGATCGCGACTAGTTCAACTAAAACCATTGTCACGGAGAAAGTTCTTTACCTATATCAGAATAAAAATCACTCGCAGAAAGCTAATGAAATGCAGAACTTAAGTATGTTAGTTTATTATATTTGTTTAAAATTAATAATATATAATACAAAAACTTAACAAAAACCGGCACACAAAGGCGAAGTTTTTGCATGTCGACTTCATCATATACGAGGGTGGATTGAAAAGTACTCGGCCTAACCAAGAAAATAAACAACTACTAAATCAGTTATATTTTTATTTTTCTACATAATCACTATCAAGTTCAATACACTTTTGCCACCTCCCCTTCCAAGCATTTAGACCGTTGAAAAAAAATGATTCTTCCTTAGAGTCAAAATATGCGTCTACAGCTGCTTTGACCTCGTCGTTTGTCGAAAATCTTTGACCTCCCAAGTGCTTTTTTAGGTTAGGGAACAGAAAGAAGTCTGATGGTGCCAGATCAGGTGAATACGGCGGATGCGGATGCGGTAACAGTTCAAAGCCACAGTTGTGAATTTCAGCCATTGACTGTACTGACGTGTGAACACGGGCGTTATCTTGATGAAACAGGACTTTTCTTCTGAGCATTCCTCGACGTTTTTCTTTTATTTCCTCTCGTAAACGACGTAGTAAGGTGCAGTAGCAATCAGAGTTTATATTCTGACCCCTTTCAAGATAATCAATCATAATCACACCTTTCGAGTCCCAGAATACTGAAGCCATCACCTTATTTGCCGACAAAATCGACTTAGCCTTTTTAGGGGGTGGTGAACCAGGTCTTCTCCACTGTTTTGATTGTTGTTTTGTTTCCGGTGTACAGTAATGAACCCATGTTTCGTCCATAGTAACAAAACGATTCAAAAAATCATCTGCATCGGCTTCAAATAACTCCAAACAGTCGCGTGAAATAGTCAATCGCGTCCTTTTTTGTTCAACTGAAAGCAGTCGCGGAACCCACCTCGCAGACACCTTGTGGAAACCCAACTCGTTGACAATGATGTTTTGAGTTCGTTCATAAGAGATGCCTATAATCTCGGCTATCTCTCTAATTTTTAATCTGCGGTCTCCCATTATTAAATCAAGTACTTTTTAAATATTTTCGTCAGTAGTTGACGTCGAAGGCCTTCCAGAGCGGGGTTCATCTTTCACACTCTCTCTACCACGCTTAAATTCTGCTATCCATTTTTTGACGGATGAATATGACAGAACACAATCGCCTAATGTACTGACCATGTCATCATGGATGGCTTTTGATGATAGCCCCTTCTTATGGAGGTACTTAATGACGGCACGCTGCTCGATTTGCTCCATTCGCGGAAATTATGTCCGATTACTTTGTTAATAAATTTATAAAATCACAACTAATTATCGCACACGTTTCGAACTTCACACAATGAACTAGTCTGAACTGAACTAAATAATGTGTGTAGATTTGATTTTTAGAATTGAATGGATCTGTGTTAGGCCGAGTACTTTTCAATCCACCCTCGTATATAAAAACATCATTACAGACTTTGGATTCATAAAACTTGCAGATACGAAAAGAAAGCATCTTGAGTATTATTTTAATATATAATACCAATACAAAACTATAACAAACACATTATTACTTACATTTTAAATGCAGAACGCACAGTACTACCGACAAAATTGGTATGTGTTACTTGGCATAGACTTTTTACCAACCCATAGACGCGTTTTTTAATATAGAGCCGTCTAATGTAACATTCATGAAGATTTTTGTAACTTTCCATAGATAAAAAGTCGTTTAAAGTGTAGAAGTCAGCGAGGCCACTCTAGTCGCCCTAACGTTCAACCGGAAAAGTTTTAGGCGACTATGGTCGCCCGGACGTTTGAGTGGCTATTGTGTGATGAAAGTGATGAAGATTTCCAACAACTGCTCTTACATACTGAAGTATGCTGGTTGTCGAAAGATGCATGCTTATCGAGATTTTACTCACTTTTCGAATCAGTGATAAAGTTTCTGAAAACTAAAGCACCAGATTTAAAAGAAAATCTGATCAAATATAAAGCGGACATTGGGTACTTAACAGATTTGTTCAAAAAATTCAATGACCTTAACTTGCAGTTACAAGGGGACAGCCTTAATTTAATAAAAACAAAGGGTGTAATTTCGGCTTTTCTTAGTAAATTGAAATTAATGAAGCAAAATATTAGTCGGCGCGAATGAGGATATTCAGATATATGCTCAACATTTAAATACCCCCCATGATAGCTTCATAAATAGATTTGAACATATTCTGACGATAGAAATACCACCATGGATCATAACCCCATTTAATGAACCGGAAGAGGCAATGTGGTATTACAAGAAGAGCTACTTGAGCTCAGCGCCAACGAGGAACTGAAGGTGAAATTTAAAAAAGGCTATTTTGGCTGCAGGCAGAAATCCCCGAAAAATATCCTGGGTTGTGGGAAGTTGCGAGAAACTTTTGATAGTGTTTCCCTCGCCATATCTTATCGAAAGAAGTTTTAGTGCCGTTACCAACCTGTTAACAAAAAAAAAGGAGCAGATTGAACATCACAGAATGGGGAGATTTGAGATTACTTCTTACAAAACTGAAGCCAAATATTGATAATTTGCTGTCAATTCATCAAGTACATCCGTCTCATTAAAAATATGACTATTTTTATTGTTAATTTTTGATTGTTTATAATAAAAAATGTTTATAATTTTGTATAACCACAAGTATTATTTTAATAAATAGGACTCAAGAAAATGTGCTACTTTTTTTTTCTACTTAACACCCCCAATTTAGGGTGTTTTAGGAGGTTTGGGAATACAGTAGAAATGTAGCATCAGGGGTCTACCGAAAATAGTAAAACTTTGAAAGTGGTCCACGAGAAAAAAAGTTTAGGAACCTCTGGTATACCCACCTAGTGGTTACATAGAAATATCAATTAAATCTGATGATACTTCGTTTCAGAGTTTAAGAATGGATAGGTTACAAGATGGTGTGAATGGAAAACTAGCAATGGACACAATTCGTGTTTGATTGATTCGGACTTGGAGAAGAATGAGGTTTGAAGGATACAGGATCGAAGTATGTCATTTAAGTAAGAGACAAAATGACAGGAATAATAAATATGTTGTGGTGGAGTAATAAGGCACAATAGGAAGTTGAAGTAAAGAAAAGAGCATGGCTAGGTATACTAGTGAATAAAGCTGATAATTCTGGTTGTAATAAAAGAGTAAAAGAAGTAGTTGAAAGGAAGAAGCAAGAACGGAAAAGAATGATTGATCTGATAACTTCCAAACAGATGTCAATATGTTTTGAAAAAGTCGTTAGAACTGTAAGGGGAAATTCAGAACACAGAATGCAGTGTAAGACAAAATGACCATAATATTTTGAATGAAGTTCGAGTTTTTATTACCTAGAATAAGAGTGACAAACGAGCACACAGTCCACCTGATGGTAAGTGGATACTGTTGTCCATAGACATGTATATTTATCGTAGAAAAGAATCAAAATGCACATCCATTGTCAAATTAAAGGACTAAGATGGAATGCCTCGTTTCCATTAAAAAGGTTCTCTACACTCACCATAAGAAATACAGCAACATGAAGCTGCTACTTTAAGCTGGTATTCCATGAGAGTGTGGTCCTACTCCAGTCGAGCAGACTCATTCATGCTACAACCACAATGTAGCTGCAGCGTGACTACCATTATATAAAATTTTAATTATATTTAAATTTAAAAGGGTGATAGCTATACTTTGAAAGGGTGTTTAAATGTGAGAAGATTCTGAAGTAAATGAACCAGAAACTCTGAAACAAAAGTAATGAGAGGGTGATATGAGAAGTATACTTGAAATAATGAAAGCAATAAAAAGCATGAAAGCAGGTAAGGCAGGGTATGGTAAAGTATCAACAGAAATGCTGAGAGCTGGAGAGTGGACACGATTACTTGATGGCAAATGTTAGCCTATTTTGATTTGGGCATGGGGCTGATTTAGGCATTAAAAAAATTCTTATAGAGGTATTAGAGTCCCAATGGGCAGCATTTTAGAAGCTCTGTCAGGTTTTCTCGTCGCCCATACCAGAAAATCTTAAGACTAAGGTATTCAACCATTGCATTTACCTGTACTCACCTATGGTACCAAAACATGGATGCTGATGATACTGCTATTCCACAAGCTCAAAGTCGCTCAACGAACTATATAAAAAGATATGCTCGTAGTTTCTCTGATATATAAAATTTGTAATGAAGAATTCCTTCGGAAGATTGCTGATATAGCCTTTCGTGTTTGTAAACTGAAATGGCAATTGATTGGTTATGTCTGTTGCAGTAGTTAGTGACAGAATTGGCAAGGGACTTACTAGATAGAAGTTTATCAACCAAATTGGTGATATATTATTACATTTAAAAAAAAAAACTCCAATCTGTGTCGGATGCTTTTAGGCATTGTGATATTACTCTTTTCAGGTAATCTTTTTTATAGAATAAATAAAAAATATTCATATATTTGAAGTTTTAATATTTTTTATTCATAATGCATACAAAGGAGTAGAATAACTTTCAGTATTTGTCTTTCCATCAGAGTACAGTGTAGATTTCTTCAAGGCAAAAGTGAATAGGCTTTTGTTAAGTTAAGTGTGCTTTCTTATATTTATGCGAACACTACACATTTAAATGAAACTAACTTTACGGATTTTATCGCGTATATTAACTTATTTTACATTCCCGACGTTTCAAGCACTTTATAGCACCCATGGTCACGGGGGGGACTGAGGTGTATGACATCCCAATGTCATAGTTAACCACGGCTACCTCCAGATTAAAAATTATTAATTTTTGTTCCGATCTACGCAGTATGAACTTACAGTATCATGAACTCTTGCAGTTGTATGCTTGGGTTGGGATTTAATTTTATTAATTATGGGATCCCAAGCAGATGGTAGCACCCAGCCATCTTCTCTACTGAAATTAGGATGTTTTTTGATTTCAATAGCCTCGCGAATCATCCTTGGAAGGAATCGATGTTCTTTAGCGAGGATTTGTGGTCTATCAAATCTAATGTAGTGACGGGGGTAGGTTTATTAGTACCGTATATACTTTCATATGCATTAAGTAAAAAGCTGTAATTTTGACATGTACAGGATCGCCCCTTACATTTGCATTCCAGGCCCGAAACCTATTGACATAGAGAAGACAAATGAATTGAAAGAATCACTTGTGCCATTTGGTGTGTTTGAGTCGGAGGCTGAAATGCACCATCGTATGGAGGTGTTGGGTTCGTTGCACCGACTCGTCAGACAGTGGATACGAGAAGAGTCGCTGAGGAAGAACATGCCACCAAGTGTAGCAGAAACCGTTGGAGGGAATATTTATACATTTGGTTCTTATAGACTTGGGGTGAGTGTTTAAGAAATTAATCGATATGTTCTTACTTTGTCAACCTTTTTTTAATAAATGCTGGGCATAGCCCACTCAGGAATGTGCTATCTGGAATGCAAACCTTGAAATATTTGCCGATACGCGTCTTTTCCGCTACAGTTATTCTTTAGACATAGTCTCGAAGTCTTGTGCACCTGATCCCCATAAAATGTTACCACTGATTCGTCTAACTATAGGCCTATCGCCATAATTTCCTTTGTTCTTTAAAATAATGGAACTCATTATATTAACTGCCAGCTAAAGCACCTCATTTACCTTGAGCAGCAACTTCTGATTAGTGACCGCCTGTACGATTTCCGCTAGTGATATTCTAGTTTACCTGACACATTGATGGACGGAGGCAGTCGAGTCTAAGGAGGAGGATTTTATGGTTAGTTTGAACATGTCAAAAGCCTTTGATTAGCCTGTGAATGTGGCACACAAAGCTGTGAACTATCGCCTATCCTGTATCTTCAGAATATCAATAGTATGTTGCAGACATGCATTGTTATGCTATGCTATATTTGTCAAGTTCCGGAAGAAAGCGTCTGAAATCGATTCTTTGTAAACTAATTGTAAGACTTGATTTGGGGATGATTAAGACTAGTCCAGTTCAACCCCTTTTGTCGTATCTTCGTAGATTAGGGCACTCCCGGTGTTGCCATTGCCTGCATTAAAATTCTTGAGTGTTGTTGACATATTGAATGACGTTCAGATCCACGTTCACTTGGAAAGGAAATCCAAATTGGCCTTAATTAGCTCTGCATGCTCAGTAGAGTGAAACAGTATTTCATGTGGGCACACCGCTTATAACTTTACAAGGCACAAGTTCGACCTCTCATGGAATACTGTTCTCATTCTGAGTTGGGCACACCAGTGCATGCTTCTTTCACCTGGTCGCAACGAAAAGCGGCCCATATCGTCGGCTCTATTCTTTTATGTCGTTATGAGATATTGTATCCCTAATTTTATATTGTCTTTACAACGAGGAGTGCTTTCAGATATTATTCTGACATATTCCAGTAGCAAAGTGCATTAATCGCACATCGCGATAAAATTCTCGATATCATCCTCACCATTAGGATGCTTAGTGGTCACCTACTGTGTTATTTTTTAGAAATTTTCTTAGAATGACTATTTGGAATCGTGGAATCAACTATCATCAACGATTTTTTCATACGGATACGACTTAGAGACTTAAAAAAAGAAACTACGCCTTTTTTAAAGGCCGGCAATGCACATCTTACTTTCTACTACTTTTGTAAGATATAATTTACAACTTGGCCAAAACAATTGGGCGCATGACAGGAATTCGGTTTCGGCGCCCGCACCCCGCCTCTATCCCCGCGCTTTCCCTTATGACCAATCACGTTCCGGTGTTCCCTCCCTAGTTCTAATGACGTCTTAGCCGTTATGCGCCTACTTATTTTGATCACGTAGTACGTATTATTATTACATATTTCAAATTAGTTTCCAGTCTACGTAATGATGACTGCAATAATTAAGAATTTAATCTAATTTTAGGTGCACCACAGGGGGGCGGATATTGACGCATTGTGTGTGGCGCCGAGGCACATTGACCGGACTGATTACTTTCAATCCTTCTACGAGCTCCTGAAGTCTCAGCCGCAGGTATACTATATTTATATACGAGGGGCACACTGAAACGATCGGGAATAGAATATTTCGGATTGAGTTACAATAAAACCTTTATTAGAATTTGAATACTGGTCTCTTAGAATCTTAATGACATTCAAACAAAAAAAAATGTTTAAAAACAAAAACTATGTTGGTTTAAAGTTGACACGTCGTTAACAGAAATGGAGCTCACGCGTGAACATTTCCGTGACATAATTTATCATTGTTTTCGTCGGGGCTTATCTCAAGATAAATGTCTCTATTTACTAATTTATAATCTAAATTGTAAAGAGTCCCTTAGAGAAAAATTTAAAGAAATAAACATATTAACTTTGGCATCGCAATATATTTATGAAAATGTAATGTATGTACATAAAAACATAAATAGCTTTAATAAGAATAAGGATATTCATACCTTAAACACTAGGAACAAACATAAGCTTGTAATGCCACTTACAAGACTCCACAGAATTAGTAATTCATTTATGGGGCAATGTATACGCTTTTACAACAGAATCCCAGAACATGTTCAAAGTTTGTCAATAAACAAGTTTAAAAGTTTTATTAAAGAAAAACTGTACAAAAAGGGTTATTATAATATTAAGGAATACATGAATGAAAATAAACCCTGGGAATAAGGTAATCGCCACCATGCTGGTTCTATGAAAATTCATTTAAAATTGTATAAACAAAATTATTTTTAAGTGAAATTATGTTTTAAAAAAAAGTCCCGCTGGGTTTATTGCTGGTTCTTCCCAGGACAGACGTATTTTCCGAACCAGTGGTAAATAAAATAATGACTTTCATTAAGTATTATGTAATAATCAATATTGAATAAAAATCATTCTATTCTATTCTATTCTATTCTCAGCGAACTTGTTTCGACTTATGATGTTGAAGCACCGAGTCAAACGACAATATACCGCTTGTATGCCGAGTTCCGACGCGGTTGTGTGTCGCTCAGCACTGTTTCTTCTGCAGGTCGACCAAGAACAGCGGTCAAGCCTGGAAACATCGCAGCTGTGCGAACTATTATATTAGATGACCGTCATATTACATACGAGCAGATTCGGGCTGTTACCAGTATTGGAATGACTGCAATTCAGTCGATATTACATAATGAGCTGTGTGTAAAAAAGCTAGTTTCCCGCTGGCTTCCCCACAATTTGTCCGAAGAGCAAAAGGCGGCCCGTGTAGATTGGTGCTGGAATACTCTGCAACGCTTGAACGGAGGGAAGTCAAATGCCGTTTATAATATCGTCTCAGGTGACGAATCATGGATTTATTCATGCGAACCTGAAAGAAAACATCAGTCAGCAGTTTGGGTCTTCGAAGACGAGGTCAAACCAACTAAAGTGGTTCGCTCCCGCAGCGTGTCAAAGAAAATGGTCGCTACGTTTGTCTCGAAAAAGGGGCATGTTGTGTTCCTTTACAGGAAAGCAGAACGGTTACCGCTGAGTGGTATATCACGGTTTGTTTCCCAGAAATGATAGCCGAACTCCGAAAAAATAACCCGAAACGTCGCATTATCTTACATCACGAGAATGCGAGCTCCCATGCGGCTCGGAAGACAAATGATTTTTTGAAGCAGGAAAACGTTGAGCTGAAAAAAAAGAGTTATTGAGATTTTTTTAAGTAATTTTTCTTCATGCTTTGCCTATATTACTTTTAAAATAACTACTTGCAAAATAACCCTTTACATATATTTCTTCTGTACGTGTGTCTGTTACTGATCTAAACCAACTGGACTGATTTTGATAAATTTTTTATGTCTGTATAAGTGGGTGCCAGGATGGTTTAGATTGACTATTGGACCTGGTAGGTGGCGCTGTGGTCGACATCTAGCAATCACCCGTACAAACCTGGGGCGGATCACTAGTAATATATATAAAAGTAACAGCTGATAAAGTCCAACAGTTGATAAAATGCCTACTCTCATTTGTGAGGTGATAAATGAGTTGACTAAAGTCCGCTACTTCTTGTTCTTCGTTGCAGATTCAACAGATTTATTGAAATATACTGTTATCAACAAAACATAATGTGAAATTTTAACAGTTATCAAGTTCTGACTTAGGATAGGTAAACAATTTATTGTTCTAGGTTAAAGATTTGAGAGCTGTGGAGGATGCCTTCGTGCCAGTAATAAAGATGAATTTTGACGGAATAGAGATTGACTTGTTGTTCGCAAGACTTGCCCTCAAAGAGATACCAGGTAACTTATTAAACCACTTGTATACCTTATTTAATATCTTGTTCTGTTGTGGTAGCATTAGAGAATCTATCAACCCATTTTGTTTCGTGGATATCATAACTACTATGGGAAATAACAGAATGATCGCATGACCTCAGATAGTGGTTATAACTGTCTCCCATATTACATTAGATGAAATATAGCCTGCGGTAACGAGGAGCAGCGCTAGAACTGCCAGATATTTTTTCCAAAACCTCCCTGCAATGAGAGAAGACCATGGTAAATAAGTTTTATATCTAGCAAGATAGTTATAAAGCTTGGTTACGGTTATCCACCAAAATTTTTGAGTTGTTTTTCCAGTGAAGGATCTAAAATAGTTAACAAGAATTTGAGATGCTTTTTGACTTTTTCAGTTTCTTTACCTTTTAGACAAACTTGATTATCCTAGGATATACTGTATTGTGTATGTTGTCTGCAGACTCGTTTGACCTCCGCGATGACATGCTTTTGAAGAATTTGGACCAGAAATGCGTGAGATCACTCAATGGGTGCCGCGTCACAGATGAGATATTACGTCTCGTGCCCAACATTAACAACTTCCGCTTGACGTTACGCGCTATAAAACTCTGGGCTAAACGTGAGTATGATTTTTAATTCACTTTTATCAGCTTGACCTTTGTGTATATTATATGAATAAATGTAATGCACTTTTATAATTCAGTTCTCACATACTTCTGAACTTTCTGAAGTGAATAATATGAAAGTTTGCAGACATATTAAGAACCAATGACAATACAATAATTTTATAATGAAACTTTTTTTTAAAACATTCACTGAATGTTTTAAAAGTTTTGCTCGATTATAATATCATCTGTGAACTTCTAATACCTCTTAACTCGCATTTTGTCGCTAAGGTTTTTTAACGCTATCGTTTGACAGAAATCAGAATCAATAGAATGCATTAATCTCCTAAACAAAATACTTGTTCGTTTGGTCACTATCTTTTCGGAGAAATACTAAAATCCTTCTAAATATTGCCGCCTTATTTTTGTTGCAAATTTCTCCTAACAGTTTCCTCGAAGCGCGCGTACACGGCTATTCAGTATTCTAGCGTTTGTCATTCTAAATTAAGTTTTTGGTGTTTTTATCACTTCGTTATTTACATTAGTGTTATAAAACTAATGAAGTGGTGGTGTTTCACTGATTTTGTTTCATAAAATAGGTACGTAAATAAGATTTATTTTAGGTTAAAGTAATTTTGTCAGATAGGAGTAATTTCTTTGAACACCTTTTGCTTCAATTTGGTAAGTAATGTTTTCAATCGATGCAGTTAGAAGAAAATTCTTAAAAGTTTAATACTAATAATTTCTTTCTTAAATATCTACGATATTTTAACCTCTCTATGATCATAAATTATTTGGTATTTTGTGTAGTTGAGAGATTGCTTATTTATTTCAGATTTTGTCATAATGGCTTCAAGAAACAATGCACATGCACTCGTTAATATCATTTGCAATCCCACTGAAACAGAGAATATCGCATCGATGTCTCGTACGTTCCTGTTTTGGTAGAGAATGTCCTAACAGAACCACATTCTTTTCAAACGATTGAACCACAGTTAGGGGAGATTTCATTAACTGCAGACAATGGCCTCATTCAATTAGAAGACCTGGTGGCGCTTGACTCACCGTCGCTATTAGAAACACCGTCTCTGAGGCCAACTTCACCACCACCTGAGTAAGATTCTTTTAAAACATTTTGTGAGGCTTTTCGCCTAATGAAAACAGCGATTACGAACCACCCAATGATCGTGGTGCTTTAAGTTCAGATTCAGAAAATATTCCTCCAAATGAAGATACTCTTGAAACAAATGAATTGGTAGTTCTCTTTGGAGATATATTTGAAGGCCGATGTAGACAGAGACGAGCTCAAACCGAAAGTTGGAAAATTACTAAACAGTTAAGGATGGAGGGGACAGAGTATGAAGGTTACAGAAGACCAAAGGGTGAGAAAGTGCAAAGCCAAATTCGAAATCAAAGGGTTCTTGGCCCTAGATGCAATTCAGATTTTTGTAGATATCGTAAGTTGAGATGTTGTGATGAAGTAGTAGATGAGGATGGAGAGAAGATTATTTCGACAATTCTGGCATCAACGAAACGTGTATGTAGCTATTAACGTAACTTTTCAGGGAAAAGGTTGGCAGACATCAATAATTTCGAAAAGAGCTGGTACTTTCGTTTATTTTCTTCCAGTGAGTAATTCTACAGATGGAACCACAACCAAGAAGCGTGTGTGCCGTGAAATGTTTATTCATACTTTGCGCCTTGGAACATTTTCCGTTCAAAATTGGCCAAAAAAAAGGGATAAGTGGCATGCATCAATCTGAAAAAAAAAATCAATAATCGTAACCGTCGTCCTAAAGTGCAACTTTCTTAGAGACATGACGTTCTTGATAACTTTTTGAATAAATTACCTAAAATGCTGTTTCATTACAATCGTCATAACACTAACAAAGTCTACTTGGAGCCAATTTATCGCAACGTCACTCCCTTATACAATATGTATAAACAATACTGCTGAGAAAAAAATGCAAGTCCTTACGCTAGAAATAAATTTAATGAAACTAGCAAATCGAAGAATATAGCTAACCACGCAATAAAGAAGGACATCTGTGATGTTTGTGTAGGTCATCAGAGCGATAATGTAAGCGAAAATAACTACCCAACACATCTAAGAAGAAAAAATCGAGCCTGTGTGGAAGAATCTAAGGATAAAGTGAGACGATCAAGGGGAACTGCATAGTTTTAACAATGTGGACTTGCAATCGGTTAAAGTGTGTGTTTAGCACAGCTAGTGTTGTTTACTATAAAACAAAATTAGGTGTACATAATTTAATCATGTACGATTTAGCCTCGCATGAGTGTGAGTGTACAACGTGAAACCAGTAACATTCAACCACTATCTATGCGTCATTTATCATTGATTATTTAACCCGCCATAGCCTTCCCAAACATAATAATATACTCAAATGCTGCTCAAGCCAGAACCGAAACAATATATTATCGAATGCTTTTTAAATCTGTAATACAAAAATATCTTGATACACATATAGAAAGAGATTGAGTACATAGTGCTATAGAAATTAAAAATAGGCTAATTCACTTACCAATTGATTACCTCTCGGTTACCAAAGAAGCTCGCAAAAATCATGGCGCTACACTTCTATCCGACCGGGATGCAAAGCATGAGATCCGAAAGTTGCTGATATGATATAAAGACTATTTTTGATGACAGCACAGGCCTGATTAAGTTTAATTTGGACTTTGACTCCGATTGGGATAGCCTCCCGCAAAGGATTAATAAAATTGTCATCATAAGAGCGTATGCACCCCTGCATAGGAATAGAATACTTATCACATACCAAAAATATAAAAAAATACAGGAGCTGAAGTCTGTTTCCCATTAGACGGTCATTCCTTTTACGACAGTTTGCCTCATAATGAACATTAACATTCCTAATATTACCATAGTTTTAAGAATGTTTAGTTGTTATCAGGAAAATCCTGCTTCTCATCTCTTGTCTTAGTTTGCCCCTATTAAAATTTTACTAATTGATAATTGGATCATTCAGTAATAAGCATCAGTTTCTTATGTTTGATTTGTACAATTTATTGTGTATACCTATTATACTTATGTGGTTGTGATGTGGTTAGGTCACGGCATCTACTCGAACACGCTGGGCTACCTGGGTGGTGTGTCGTGGGCGATGCTGGTGGCGCGCACTTGCCAGCTGTACCCCAACGCGTTGCCGGCCACGCTGGTGCACAAGTTCTTCCTCGTCTTCAGCCAGTGGAAGTGGCCACAGCCCGTTCTTTTAAAGCAGCCCGACGCGGTCAACCTCGGCTTCCCTGTATGGGACCCAAGGGTGAGTCTGTGCACTACAGTCATACAAACTCCACAACATTGATAAACTAATTATAAAATAATAAGAAAATTAAAAACAACTTAACATCACCTCAGGATGATATATCACCTCCTAACACCATGTTGAATCCACTTCGCACCATGTTGACACCACCTTAATGTAACATAATTTTCCTATACAAAACTAAAGAGCACCTTGATATGATATCAACACCAATTAAACAATATTTCTACACATAGTCGACACCACCTCATCAGCCAGTTGCGAATTGCTTCACGTTGGCGCGAGAATATATCCTGAAACTTAGCAACCCGATAGAAATACAATTATGTAATAGAAATTAGTCTTTACGTCTGAATCATGAAGGTTAATGTACCAGTCACTTTAAGGAAATGTTAGAATAGAAAATGCTCTAATTTAGCTTTTACAGTCTAAATAATTGATTCAAGCAAGATCCAATCTTATGTCTACGTTTATAAAGCCGATTATCACCATTTGTTCCACCAAGATTACCAAGTGTTTTATCATCTTTCATTGATAGATTGATCTGGCTCATTCAAACATTCCCCATGTATGAATGAGCCAGATCACCCTAGAATGTTGAATATTTTTCTCACTGTACATAAAATCGTTTATTATTTTGGTAACTCATAAGTGAATTCTACTCCAAGAAGCAACTACGAGTTATCCATCTTCTTGATGTGTGTATGTGTGGAAGATTTTTTTTTTTAAGAATAAGGCTCACAAACACAATCCACCTGATGGTGAGTGGATGCTTTGGCCCAAAGACGTCTACATTTATCCTCAATTAAAATGCAGGTGAGATGCGCTTTCATCCCTGAGGACTAAGACGGAATGCTTCGTTTCCAGTAAAAAGGGTCTTCGGTTCCTTACACGCACCATACGAAACACAGCAGCATTAAGCTGCTATTTTACGCTGGTATTCTGTGAGAGCGTGTTCCTATCCCGGTCGAGGCGCCCCATTTTTGCTACAAGTTGTAGCCTACAACCATAAATAATATAGCAGTAGTGTGGCTCTACCACATGCAGAATACGGAGTACATCCATTTCTCATCCTAATCTGAATTTTTACACACCCCCACACTGCACATAAAGCTATTTATATCAGTCATATAGTATAACATATCCAGCATATATTATTGGTGACAATGATTATTTACGTCACAGGTGAACGTGTCCGACCGGTTCCATTTGATGCCGATCATCACGCCTGCGTACCCTCAGCAGAACTCCACTTTCAACGTGTCCGCATCAACTAGAACCGTCATCATGGAGGAGTTTAGACTTGGTACATTACTTTTCCTTAAAAAAGTCACAGATTTTTTTCCTGTATACTAATAATAATAATGCTTTTATTTCTTTAAAACATTGTATTGCCTCACAGAATGTAATTCAGACTGTATCACAGCAGTGCAATTTTCATATAAAAAACATATATATTAATCTCAAAAACCGCTCCAATTAGAGCGGTTTGATTGGATTAAACTCTTCCAATGAAGGGAATACATTGTAGATTTGAACACGGAACTAAATGAACTGGTGAAATCATTATATTTTCATACAAGTCTTAATTAGGTGTCATACCGCTAAAAATTCAATTTGCTTTTTACAGGTCTAGCTATAACAGATGAGATAATGCTAGGCAAATGCAACTGGGAGCGACTCTTCGAGGCGCCAAATTTCTTCTCACGTTACAAGCATTTTATCGTTCTTCTAGCATCTTCTGCCAACCCCGTTGATCAATTACAATGGTGTGGACTCATTGAGAGTCGGATTCGACATCTCATTAGTGAGTTTGTTAACTGTTACATACTATTAACAATATGTTACTGAATTACAAAACTTATAACGGGTGTTTGTGAAATGCTCCTGAAAACGAAGACACGATAGTACTAACGACACCTTTGATGATCAGAAAGAAAATCAATCCCGAGGAAAAAGATCACCTTAATACAACGTTTTATTAGCTTTTATTCACGCTCCATCGTGTTAGTACAGCTAAATGAAACGATAATTTCACTAAAATAAATCACGAAAATACTTAAACATAAAACCAGCAGTGGAATTTAAAATGAATACATATCAGCTGACTAGGGTCAATATACGCTCGAACGCCGAATTCGCGCGGCCCGTAGCTAGCGTACTAATACCTAATAATTTTTAACACTTGTCTAAATACATAACTTATTTACTTAACCTACTATTTTGCCACTGTGTTTGTCACAACCTAACTACTTTAATTCGAAATCACAGGTTAAATAAAACAAATACCTGGTTCGATTCCCCGCTAATGAAAAATTTACTTAAATGAAATTTTAACAACGAGAGTCATGCTTTTTTAGCCGTCGTGTAGGTATGTTTATTATTCTGATGTATTCAGCTATATACCTATTGAGGTCAGTTCAGTACTAAGTTATTTAAAAACTAGCTGTTTCCCACGACTTCGCCCGCGTTCAATTAATTTTTTGTGCAGATGCCTAATTCTTTTTCTAAAATAAAAGTAGCCTAAGTTACTCCTTATAATATCAGCTATCTGCTAGTGAAAGTCCCGTTGAAATCGGTCCAGCCACTTTGGAGATTAGCCGGAACAAACAGACAGACAAAAATTTTAAAAATTGTTTTTTTTGTTTTAAGTACCGTATACACTTTCATATGTATTTAGTAAAAATCTGTGATTTTGATATTACAAACAGACACTTCAATTTTATTTATTTGTATAGATTAGCATAGTTATTGCCAAACTACTAGTCATTTTACTAGGTAGTAGATAGTTTTTAGTTACTCATAAATGAAATTTATTAATTTCATTAGGCAATAATTTCTTTAAACTCAATTTGAAAAAAATATATTATTATGATTGCCCTATATTAGTTAACTTGCACCAAGTGGCCTTATGAAATTCTCCAAGGCACATTAACATGTTGCCGTATTCGCGAGCACTATAAACGTACGCGTTAGGCATTATTAAAACAAAACAAGAAACATAAAACGTAACAACAAGAATTTAATAAATAAAACGATAGAACTGTCGTTCACGCGCACGTGATAGTGAACACTACAACACAGAACTGTCTCAAAACCAAAATCCCGCCAAAACAAAGGCCTACCGCTAAGTCCATGCGTCCTAACGTCGTTGTGGAAAGCACTTTGATCATTTCCACAGATCGTTAAACCGTTACGACATTGCCAACGTTTATTTTATTTATAAGTTTAGTTATCTCTACTCATCATCATATGGAATTTAGAAATTCATCATCATCATCATCATCGTCATCGTCATTACAGCCCTTCATAAGTCCACTGCTAAACGTAGGACCCCCAAGGAATACAACAAAGCACGGTCCTGAGCCACCTGTATCCATCGACTTCCTGCATATCTTACCAGGTTGTCACTCCATCTACACTTCGTCCGCCGGTACGAGACTACCACTCGAGAACCTTTTTTCTCCATCGGTTGTCGGTTCTTCAAGCTATATGGCCGGCCCATTGTTACTTCAGCTTACTAATAATTTGGGCTGTCGGTAACTCTGGTTATACTGCGGATATCCTCATTTCTAAGTTTATCACGCAGAGAAACCCCGAGCATAGCCCTCTTTATACCTCGCTGAGTGACCTCGAGCTTCCTCATACGGCCAACAGGGAAGGACCATGTTTCAGTTCCATAAGTCATCACTGGCAACACGCACTGGTTGTACAGTCTAGTTTTTAAGTTTTGAGGTATACCTGACGAGAAGATATGCCGTAATATCCCGAACGTTGCCCAGCCGAGTTGAATCCGTCGATTGACCTCTCGGTCGAAGTTGGACTTACCTAGTCGGACTATTTGTCCCAGGTAAATATACTCGTCAACAACTTCGAGCTTAGTGTCCCCAACAACTACCGGCATAGGTGTGAAGTGGACGTTATTCATGATCTTCATTTTGTCCATGTTCATCTTAAGAACTATCTGTTGGGAGACACTATTGAGGTCATTGAGCATAGTGCTTAGGTCTTCCAGCGATTCTGCCATAAGGGCTATATCGTCGGCAAATCGAAGGTGAGTGAGGTACTTGCCATTGACATCAATACCTTATCCTTTCCAGTCCTTCAAATGCTATGGTGAAGAGTTTCGGGGAAATAACGTCATCCTGTCTTGCACCTCTCTGCAGTTGGATAGGTTCTGGTTCTGTAATCGTATAGCCATCGTAGCTCTACTTTACAAACATTTCAGCACTCCGATATACCGACACTCAACTTGGCACCGCTGACGAGACTGCAGCACCGCCAAAATTTCGACGGAATCAAAGGCTTTCTCAAAGTCCACATACGTTTGCCGAAGGGTATGTATGTGGTCTATGGTGCTAAAGCCTTTTCGGAAACCGACTTGTTCGGGAGGCTGGAAGTCGTCAAGTCTGCGTGGGAGACGATTCGTAATGACTCGAAAACTGCACGTAGACGCGGCTCAGAAGGGAAATCGGTCTGTAGTTCTTCAAGAGAGCGTTGTCGCCTTTCTTGAAGAACAAGACCACCGCATTTCTGCTCCACGCCTCCGGTGTAGTGCCACCATGGAGGATAGAATTAAAGAGCTTCTGAAGGACTTTAAGTACCGGTTTTCCACCTGCTTTCAGAAGCTTCTCTGTAATTCCATCCTCGTCTGGGGCCTTGCTGTTTTTAAGGTGCTGGAGAGCCATTCTAATCTCGCTCAGATTGACGTCCGGAATATTACCGGAATAGTGGGATAAGACTTGCTGTTGGATCGTTACTCACATTTGCATGTGGCTCCAACGAGGCCGTACCTGTAGAACCTCTCAATCGCACTCAAAATCTCAGGTGTCCCGGAAACGACGCTGCCACACTCGGTTTTCAGCTTCGACAGTTGGCTCTGTCTGGCAGACAGATCTCTAGCAAAGACTGGAGCCCTGGTTCCGCTCCATCACTTCTTCAATACGTGCTGTATTGACGTTGCGTAAGTCCCGCCGTATGCATTTGGAGATATGTCTGTTCAGTTTCCTGTACGCTGTCAAATCTGCTGAAGACTGCAGCTTCATTTCCCATCTAACAACCTTGATATTAAGAGTGTGATCGCAGAGTTTTTGTGTTCTTCTGCGGCGGGTCTTGCAGAACTTAGCTCCGACCGCATGGACAGTTTCCACGAGCCTATCATTCATATCGTCCACTGCATTGCAATCTTCTAGGCACTTAAAACGGTTTTGTAGCTCGAGCTGAAAGGTTTCGGGACTCTGGATTAGACCACGAGGGGGACGGAGCGTTGACTTCATTAGACGAGACCTCTCCAACTTAACGTTTAGGTTCAGTGTGCCTCTAACCATTCGGTGATTGCTACCACTTTTCACCCTCGCGATCACTGAGACATCACTGAACAGTTGTCGTCTGGTCGTCATAATGAAGTCAATCTCATTTTTTGTGGAACCGTCGGGGCTCGACCAGGTCCACTTCCTGTGGGGCCGCTTCTGGAAAAAAAGAGTTCATCATAAAGAGTCCCTCTTTCTCCATGAAGTCGGCAAGCTGCTGGCCCCTTGGGTTCCGTTGCCCTATTCCAAATTGCCCTACCTTCAGCTCATTGTTTTCTCTTCCTCCTAGTTTTGAGAAGAAGTATAGTGGGTTTTGGAGGAATACATGGCTCTAGATATATCCTCATACATTTCCTCCACCTCCTCATTACAAGCATATGCAAGGCACAAGGCACACAATAAAATTATTTAATAAGATACAAAATTAAAATGAATGGAGAATTAAACAAGTATTTTTATAATATAAAAACACAGTATACTTCATAAGAAAGGTGTGATACATCATTTCCTCCACCTTCTCACCGGGATGTGCCGAGGTTGGTGCGTAAATCTGTATGACCTTCAGCGAATACCGTTGGATGACTAGTATAAGGTATAAGACGAGTATAAGGTACGCAGCCCTCGTCTACACATACTCAAGCTTTACAACGTTTTTAATGAGAGACTTGTGAACGATAAATCCGACACCTCCTTGGGACAGATGGTCGTCCTCCCACTGATAGAACAAGTTGCCGGATTCGAGGATTACCGTGCCCTCTACACTATCTCCACCTCTACATGGGGCTGGTAAGAATACCCGCACCCTGTAAGGGCGGGTAAGTTGTGTTAGTTAAAAATAAATCTTATTTAGAAGTTATGGTTGTCAATCTTAATACAATTACACAGTACAAAAATGATATTGAAATTAATAAACGTACCTAATTGGGTACTCACACAATTATAAACACGATTTCATCGTTATCTTTGATTTTGTACAAGAAAATAGAAATGAAATGGTACTGAATAATTTAATAGTTAAAATCAATTGCAGTTATGATCGACAGTTAATTAATGTATCAGAATTAATCTAAAAAATAATTCTTGTACTTTATTTTAATTGACATTCCATATTTAATCCGTCCAATACCCTGAATTTAAAAAGAGGTACGTCAAAACTATTAAAAATTATTTGCCAGTTTTATAGTGATTGCCGCCTCTAATTCTTATGTCGCCGGCAAACAAATCTTAGTAGGTAAATTTCGGTGCAACATGGCAGCGTTGCCAACACCAATTTGTCAAATTCCCCGAAAATCCATGTCAATTTCCCAATTTAGGGACAGAACTTCATCAGATTCGTCACAAATTCCCCTAAATTTTATTTTAAGAAATGAAACAATTTTTAACTAATTTTATAAGTTTTATTATTTACCTAACATTTTTTCCTTAAAAATTAAAAAAAATTAAAAGCATTAAATGATACACAAAAGTTGCTGAAATAAATCCGAAAATTAAATTTGGTGCAATGAAGATAATTAAAAAAAGGGAGTCATTCGATATTCATAAGTAACCTAACAAAAATGTTAAGATAAGTATTTAGATTGAGAAAGGTTCGGACTTGGCCCGGGATATCGATTTTCAAAATCTACGAATTTTCCCAGCATAATAACAATCCCCGAAAAATTCTCAACCAACTTTAAATTCCCCGTAATTTGGAGAATTCCTCACATCTTGGCAACGCGACACGAGTCGGCCGGGCGGCGGCACCGCGTGTGTGAAAGGGAAGGATAGAGTAAGGAGTAATACCTAATGCATTGTTTCGTACCGCGCGTATATTGAGCTAGGGTCAGCTGATTTAAAATTACACTGCTGGTAAAACCAGGTTTAAGTATTTCCATGATATTTTTAATTAAATTATCGTTTCATTTAACAGTACTAACGTGATGGACCGTGAATAAAGCTAATAAAAAGTTGTGAAAAGATGATTTTTTTTCCCCGAGATCGATTTTCTTTCTGACTCATCATCATAGGTATCGTTATCGTCTGTCTTCGTTTTCGGGAGCGTTTTACAAACACCCGGTATGTTTAAATTTCTTAATGCTTTGTTATTATAAAATTGTTATGTTAAGTGGTTTAAGACGAAAATAGACGGTTTATTAAAAGTGGGGCGAGAATTTATTAACAGAAAACCCCATTAAAGATAATAATTAATATTATTTAATATGTAATTTTAATTATGGGAATATTAGGATTAGAATTATAATCGACATTGCATTATAAATTGATATGACAAAATATTTTTTAGACATTGGATGATTGCAACCTTTCTCTTTTTTAAATATTGTACAACTATTAATATTTTATGGCTTCAATTGGCTTTATTACCGTTTTAATTTCTTGACACGGGCTGCTAAAAGCTTCGAGGTTTTATATAAGTATTATTTTTATAATTATTTAATTTATGATTATTAATTTTTAATTATTAATTTATAAATTATAATTGTTAATTTTTGTTATGAATGGATGCAATTTTAAAATTTTTTTGTATGTATAATTTAACCTTGTGTGTGTATTAGATTTTCTGTAAGCCACAAGAGTTTTCGAATTAAATGAATATATTAACTGATTGAACACACACCGCATTAACGACCACTAGACCAACGAGGCAATTAACGCTGTGACACGTGAATATCCAATAGATACACATAGACAAATAACTGACAGACCAGTCACATGAAAGAATGTTCACCACACGCCCTTGTACTTCAAAGGGACCTATAAAACGACTATACTAGAATTATTTTGTCCGTGCAGTTTGGGTCATAAATCATAGGAGTATTTCGCTCTTTCCCACTCACGGGCCTTAGGGCCGAGCATAGTGATGCGCATTATTGTTGTCGATAAGCGTTATCGATAGTGTTTTTACTTTCGTCATTATAAGGGTTAAAGATAAAAATGAAAAAAAAAATAGATAAAACAACGTATTTATTAAAATAAGAATAATAATGCTTTAAAATAAATTATTAATTAGATATCTATGTATTAAAAAAAACTATAAGTACAAATGTTTGGAATGTAACAAGTTATATTAAAAATAAATATAAATATAATAACTTATATCTAAAATTGAATCTAAAACTATTTACATTAAAATTTACATCAGAATCATCAGAGTCATCGTCATCCACATGAATTACGATATCTTCTGCCAGATGAGATTTCTTCAAGTCTTCCTCTTGAAGTTTTTCTGCATATTTCACACAATCTTCCCAGTTCTTTTGCGAAACGTTTGAAATTGCTTCATGCAGTAACACTTCGACGTCTGCAATTTTAAAAGTGCTGTTTTTGGTGCCAATCCCATACCAACTTAATTGGGTTATATAGGCAATGGTAAGGTGGTAAGCTAATCACTTCGTGTCCTGACTCCAAAGCTAATTAATTAACGAGTGGTAATATAAATCAATTTGTTTCAGCGACCCTCGAAAGGAACCAGTTCATAACTATAGCACACGTTAACCCAGAGTGTTACAACTCGGTGCCACTCAATACTAACAATGGACAGCCCCTCGCACTGCCTCCTGGTAAGTTATGTTTAATAATTATTACTATATATTTAAAATTAGCTGAGACACTTCTTCACGTCGTCGTTCAGCCAGCGCAGGCCGATATAGCTGCCGAGTAGTTCTTTTTCTTTGGACTTATGCATTCGTCCCGTCGTGTGCGTGAGATGCTCTTAAAAATTGACATTTATTTTCCATTTGTAAAACGATTAAAATGAACATCATGATGGTGACACCAACATCATTACAGCTCATCAAAAGTTCACTAGAAATTTTGACGTCTAAATAAGTTTCGGTTTCGGCCGAAACTGAGACCGAGGCCGAAGATTCGGTTTTGGCTGAAAATCCTGTTTCGATAAAATTCTATTCATAATCTAAATATTACTATCTTATGTGGCAGAGCCACGCTGCTACTATACTATGGTTGTAGCACCAATGGGTCGGCTCGATCGGGGAAGGCCCAGACACGTATGATGTGTGTAGAGAAATGGATACCCTTTTTACTTGAAATGAGGCATTCCATTATAATCCTCAGGGATGACAACACTACTCGTTTTGATTTTTAAGTGAGGATGGATAGAGGATGAAGGTCACAGCATCCACTTAATATTAGGTAGACTGTGTGCTCGTTTGTTACTTGTATTATTCTATGAAAAAAATCAACACGTCTTATATATAAATAAAATGATAGAGGTTTGCAGTTGTGCGCGCATCACAGAAAAACTACTGGATAGATTTCACTTAGGTTTTCTAAGCAGTGTTGCCAATTCGAATTTTTGCAAATCCATAGATTGGTATAAAAAAATTCCTAGAATTACTATAGTTGCTATTTCAAAATATCCGTAGATCTGCAGACTTCTAAAGAGGATAGACATTTTTTGCTTTTGTCAATTAAAAATTTAATAAGCGTTTATATTAACTACCTATTTTCCAAAAAATGTTCGAAATTCGAAATAAACGTAATTTAATGTAAAACATCTACATACGCTATTAAAATTTGAAATTGATTAACTCCAGCAAAAAATTAGATATTTATAAGGAAAAATATATTTTTAATATAGGCAGCATAGAAAAAGAAAGAGAGAATGATATTATCGGCTAAGTTCACTCATGATAAAAAATGTTTTTTTTTGTTAACTTTTTAAATTTAAAAATCCCGTAGATTTCAACCTCAAATTCCGTAGTTCCGTAGATGATGACAAAATTCCGTAAATCCACGGAAAAATCCGTAGAGTTGGCAGCGTGGTTTCTAAGTTTTGTTTCTTAGACACTTGGCCCTGATCTAAAAAAAAAAACCAGGCGATATCTTTATTTATTATAAAGTTATTAAAGTTTTAAGAAACAACGATTTTGTAAGCAAAGTACATTTTTGCTTGCGATCTTTTTGATGTTTTTTTTTCCTTCGCACATAGGAAAACTTTGTTAATATATCAAGCAACGCGGGTGAAGTCGTGGGTATCAGCTAGTTTTTAATAATATCATACAGTTACTAAACAAAGTACTGCTATGTTGGAATGCGAGTGTTAGAAATTCAGAATAAAATAAAATAAATTTTTAAATATTTTTTTGCAGGCACACCTGTACCCAATGATCCAGCGCCCGAAATTAAAAAGAATGAAGAGGTAAGTGTTTAATAATAAAAATCTAAAATTATATAAATGTTAAGGCTGTTAGAGGATAATATTAAGAAATCTGTCGGAGTAGGTATTACCACTTACCAGTTTCTGTCATCTGCTATATTATGGTTTAAAGGTTAAGAGAACCAGTATAATGTATATGTGGGCATAAAGATACGGCCACACTACCTAACATTAACTTGACATTAAATTACTGCGTGAAGTTTAACGGTGGTAGAGCCTTGCAGCAGCTTTTGCTGTTGCACGTATGGGCCGGCTCGAGCCGGGTTAGTACCACGACCTCACAGAATACCGGCGTGAAGTGGAAGCTCTGCTTCCGCGTTTCGTCTGGTGAGTGCAGGTGACCGGATGCCCAATTCCCCCCCCCCCCCATCAACATGGTAGCGGAATTACGTCATAAACTACCCCAGGAGGGTACCAGTACCCCTGGAGAATCCCTCGCTGAGCATCCACGACCATGCTATTCCACTCCTGAGCGTGGGTGCTCAGGCTGCCCCGCGTATTCTGGGGGGGGGGGCAAAATTCCGCTCAACACAATAACTGCTCGGGGCAAACTGAGCAACAAGACCAAGGCGACCCCTGCCACGCTATCCGTGAATTTCTGCAACATCAGGGGACTTCACTCGAACCTAAACGCCGTCCACTACCATCTTGAGACGGCGAAGCCGGCCTTGCTCTTTCTGACCGAGACGCAGGTGTCCTCTCCGGCTGATACTTCGTATCTCTCCTACCCGGGGTACAAATTGGAGCACTCCTTTGTGCCTCGGGCTGGAGTTTGCGTGTATGTCAGAGAGGACATCTGTTCTCGACGCCTCGGCAGTCTTGAAGGTTCGGACCTGTCCATCCTTTGGCTACGCGTAGACAGCGACGACCATCCGCGCGTCTACGTGTGCCTCTATAGGTCCCATAGCGGTAATGCCGAAACAGACCGACTCATCGACCACGTCCAAATGGCTACAGATTCCTTGCTACAACAGGTCCCATCCGCAGAGATCGTGATCCTTGGCGATTTTAACGCCCACCACGCCGAATGGCTCGGTTCACGTTTAACCGATCATGCGGGGAGATCTGTTTATGACTTTGCCTTGGCATATGGTCTGACACAACTGGTTACATCGCCTACGCGGATACCAGATGTTGAGGATCATACACCTTCCCTGTTGGACCTTCTGCTGACCTCTCATCCGGACGGATATCAGGTTTCCGTCGATGCCCCTCTTGGCTCTTCGGACCATTGTCTGATCCGGAGTGTAGTGCCACTCACGCTCCCCTCGCGGTTGCGTTCTGCAGGTTGCCGCCGTGTTTGGCATTACAGGTCGGCGGATTGGGACGGAATGCGGTCTTTCTTTGCTTCCTACCCATGGGGGCGGGTTTGCTTCTCGCCGGATGATCCCAGCGCTGTTGCTGACTCTGTCACTGATGTAGTGCTACAGGGAATGGAACTATTTATTCCATCATCTGTGGTACCCATCGGAGGCAGATCTCAGCCTTGGTTTGGTCGCTCCTGTAAGACTGCATTACGCAGTAAGCAGGAGTGTTATCAAGCCTGGGCTGCGGCTTCGGTGACTCGGGATGTAAACACCAGCACACTCAAAAAGAAGTATAACTTCGCCTCCAGGTCCTTCAAAAGAGTTATTGCCAAGGCAAAGTCAGAGCACATAGGCAGAATTGGCGAGAAACTAGTTCGCCTTCCTTCGGGAACCCGTGCATTCTGGTCTCTCGCCAAGGCTGTCCAAGGGAATTTCTGTAAGCCATCACTACCATCTCTGCACAGGGAGGACGACTCACTGGCCCACGACGCAAAAGAGAAGGCCGACCTTTTAGGCTCCCTTTTTGCGTCCAACTCGACTGTTGATGACGGGGGGAACACACCGCCGACCATCCCGCGGTGTGAGTGCTCCATGCCGGATGTGCGATTCTCACAGCGCTCGGTTCGCAGAGCACTCCTCTCCCTTGACATCCACAAGTCGAGTGGGCCTGACGGAATCCCCCCAATTGTGCTGAGGACGTGTGCTCCGGAGTTGGCACCGGTTCTAACGCGTCTTTTCCGGTACTCCTACTCCCTAGGCGTAGTCCCGAAATCATGGAAGACAGCTTTTGTCCACCCGATCCCTAAAAAAGGCGACCGCTCAGATCCGTCCAACTACAGGCCTATCGCCATCACCCCCTTGTTCTCCAAAATAATGGAATCCGTTGTAAACTGCCACCTCATGCGGTACCTTGAGGATCACCAGCTGATTAGTGACCGCCAGTACGGTTTTCGTCGGGGTCGATCAGCTGGTGATCTTCTGGTCTACTTAACTCATAGATGGGCGTTGGCAGTGGAGTCCAAGGGGGAGGCATTGGCCGTTAGTTTGGACATTGCGAAGGCCTTCGATCGGGTTTGGCACAAAGCGCTTCTTTCGAAGCTCCCTTCCTATGGGCTTCCCGAGAAATTATGCAATTGGATCACCAGCTTTCTTGCAGATCGGAGCATCAAGGTCGTTGTAGACGGTGCATGCTCCGACTACAAGCCTATTAACGCTGGTGTTCCACAAGGCTGCGTGCTATCACCAACGCTGTTTCTTCTGCATATCAATGATATGTTGCAAGCTGGTAGCATTCATTGCTATGCAGATGACAGCACTGGTGATGCTCTATACACCGGCCGTGCCAATATTTCTCGGGAAAACGTCACCGAGTACCGGAACAAACTTGTGTCTGAAGTCGAGTCTTTGCTGGACAAAGTCTCAGATTGGGGGCGACTAAATCTAGTCCAGTTTAATCCTCAGAAGACACAAGTTTGCGCGTTTACCGCTAAAAAGAACCCCTTTGTCGTGTCTCCTCAGTTTCAAGGTACTCCCCTTGTTGCCTCAGCCAGTATCGGAATCCTCGGCGTCGACATATCGAGTAGCGTGCAGTTTCGTGGTCACTTGGAAGCGAAGGCCAAATTGGCCTCTAAAAAGCTTGGCGTGCTCAGCAGAGCGGGACAGTATTTCATGCCGGCTCAACGCCTGCAACTTTACAAGGCGCAGGTTCGGCCTCACATGGAATACTGTTCCCATCTCTGGGCTGGGGCTCCCCAGTGCCAACTTCTTCCACTTGACCGCATCCAGCGCAGAGCGGCTCGAATCGTCGACGACCGAGTCCTTTCCGATCGGCTCGACTCATTGGCACTGCGAAGAGATGTTGCATCTCTTAGCATTTTCTTTCGCATTTACCATGGGGAGTGCTCTGAGGAATTGTTCGGATTAATCCCAGCCGCCAAATTTCACGAACGCACATCGCGGCAGAACTCCCGATACCATCCACACCATCTGGATGGTTGGCGGTCCACCACTGTGCGATTTAGAAGATGTTTTCTTCCTCGCACAACTTCCTTGTGGAATAGTTTACCACCAGCGATTTTTCCGGACCGATACGACTTAGGGACCTTCAAGAAAAGAGCCTACTCCTTTTTAAAAGGCCGGCAACGCATCTGCGATTCCCCTGGTGTTGCAGTTGTTCATGGGCGGCGGTAGTCACTTACCATCAGGTGAGCCGCATGCTCGTTTGCCCCCTCTTCTATAAAAAAAAAAAATCTAACCTAAACCAACTACTCCAGACCAACGACGGAGAACAGCATCAAAGGTGCAAGACGTTTGGGTATGCGATCATAAATCTAGCGTATCCTCTTTACAACGCGAGATGCCCATATCCAGCAGTGGATTTTAAGGGTTAATGACGTAGAAGAAACAAAACTAATTTTATTTTCGCACGTTTTTAATTTTATCTTATTTTTAATTCCTGACGTTTCGAGTGCTTTACAGCACTCATACCACCAATTGCTGAATGTCGACAACTAAAAATAAGAAGCGACTGGGTTGGCGTAAAGAAACGGACAAACATATGATAAACGTAATGAAGTATCTACCGACCTATCTACTTACAGTATTAGTGATTACGAATATGTAGAAATTTAGTAATATACAACAAAATATAGGTATCTATGTAGTCATTGTATTTTTATAACGTTGCCCCACTCCAGGATTTCTCCTGAATCGCAGACGGTGCGATTACAAACACAAATTTTCACAACTAGCCATAAAAATATTTGTTCTGTATGGGGATCGAACCCGCGACCCGAAGTGCAGAAGCCGAGCACTTAGTAATAAAAAGTATAAATGTGTTCGGTAAGTACCTACCTATCTAACTATAAAGAAATAAAACTGTAATTTACTTATCCGTCCTTACGTTATCGTTACTCCGTGGCGCACAGGCTTAGCAATGAGTTGCTGCGCTGGAGTCCGTGGGTTCGAATCCCGCACGGAACAAGTATTTGTATGGCCTACAAATAATTGTTCCGGATCTGGATGTTTATAAACAAGTTTAAATGTTTTATTAAAGAAAAATTGTACAAAAAGGGTGATTATAATATAAATGAAAATAACCCCTGGGAATGAGGTGATCGCCGCCATGCTGGTTCTATAAAAATTCATTCATAAATTGTAACATATATTATATCTAGCTGTTCCCCGCGACTTCGCCCGCGTGTTATTTAGGGTTTTAATTTTTTGCGCGGAATCCTAATTATTTTTCTAAAAGAAAAGTAGCCTATGTTACTTCTTATAACATGAGCGATCTGCCAGTGAAAGTCCGGTCAATATCGGTCCAGCTATTTCGGAGATTAGCCGGAACAAACAGACAGACAGACAAAAATTTAAAAATTCGTTTTTTTCCAAAAAGCCGGACTTTTGGCCCTAAAAGCCGGAAAGTAATTTTTAGAAAGCCAAACATACCTTTCTTAGGCCATGCATCCAAAAAACTCACCAATTCCAACCCCCCGAGAAAAAAAACTAAAATACTCCGTTACATACGTTGTTTATTAATCAATCACAGCACAGATTGAAATAAATTTAAACCACTTATTACCTACTTACAATAACAATCAACAAAATCAGTCTTCTGTTTGTAGACTATAAAAAAAAAACAAATAAAATTACAATTCTAAACAAAGTACTTAACCA